AAGGCACCATAGGACTATTTTGTGCCTAAAAAAATAAATAAATAAAAAATCAATTTCTGTACCTCTCACCCTTTATTAAAAACTCGATTCACACAACAGACTGCCTACTAGATAATTAGTGGTGTTTACCAAGCAAAGCATTAAGAGCAAATTTAAGAGTTTTGAACAAATGTTTAACCCTATTAAACAAGTAACTAGTTTGTGTTTCCAAAAATAGAATTGGAATTTTTGTATTGTTATAATCCTATAGTAAAAAAAAAATTAGTTTACTGTGAATCTTTTTTCTACCCACTACAAAAGTGCAGTGCCTATTGAAAATCATCATTCCCCTTTGAAATGGTTACATTTGTAGTACAGCCTTAAAAAAAACCATTAAAAAAAAAAAAAAAAAACTTTTCTAGCTTTATGTACACATTTTGCTTTACAACAAACTAATGAAAAAAAGAAACCGTTCTGAAAATTAAAAAAACAAAACAAAACCGAAAACCTAGAACAACAGGGTTGGAAAAGTCAGCAGTCCCCTGATTTAATACTTCATAGAGCCACCTTTTGCTTTATATAATCATTAATCTTTTTGGATATGTCTGTACTAGCTTTAGTACAGTAATAAGTACAGAATAATAATTCCCCTATTGGGGAATATTTGCCCATTCTTCCTGGCAGAATTGCTCAAGTTCAGTCAAATTCCGTGGTGAGCAAACACAATTTGTAAATAAAGCTAGAAAATATTTTTTTGGAATGGGTTTTGATTTCAGGCTGTACAACAAATAGTGCAACTATTTCCAAGGGGTATGATGATTTTCTATAGGCACTTTAAATGTTAGATGTATACAAAAAATTAATGGGCATAAAAAAACAAAACAAAACAAAACACCTTTTATAATTGAAACATTACCAGTAGCATACTGTGGGGCCCCAAACCCAATTCAAACCCCCCTGAAAATAAGTTTAGGACAAGCTATTGTTTGTTTGTGGTTTAAATTGCTAAAACTGCGCTCACTTCATTAAAAATCTTTTCAAGGGGGTCAACTATAAAGTTAAGACTCATATTGCGGTTCAACAGATCACAGTCCATTGAAATATGCTTCAACGATAAATGACTGTCAAGAGGGGCATAAAGGAGGATCTTCTAGCAATATTCTAATAACCACCCAGAACATTCTAGTGTAGTGGCAGCTCATTTTGCACGGGAAACACCACTCAAATATACCTTTACAGAATGTAAAACACAACCTCAATTAGTTCCCCATTTATATTAGAAACCCTACTACCTGATAATGACATCTCTGGTTGAAAGATCCAACGAAAGACTGTCCTCTCCTGCCCCGGCTAGTCGAAAAAGGCCGCATAGGAGAAAGGTAGTTTGGAGAGACAGGTGGGACCCTGCCACGTGCTGATCGGTCAATCACTCCCACGATCGCCTGGTCCTTATTGGTGAGAAGATCAAAATGATCAACAGATGGTTGTGCTGTATAATTCCAAAAGACACATCTGAGATTTGCTTGATCACCTGATATATAGACGGTGGAGGTGGCCTGTTGGACTTTAAAGATGCTATCATCCACTGTGAAGAAAAAAAATAATTACACCTCAGGTCAAATAAAAAAAAATATTGCCAAATATTGAAGACTACACACTGTATTTGAATTGAGGTCCTCCCAGTAGGAGCTGAGGCTGCAATCCACAATGGCACTATCAAGACTCTAAAAACAAATCCAATTCAGAAAAAAAGACAGGGTCAGGGTGTTGGTTAGTACTCAGTTTAAATTCAGAGCATTTCTGTAAAAAAAACCTTCAAGCTTGGTCGACCTTCCACAGTCTTCACCACAGCTGGGTCATCAAACAGCTGCCCTCGACCTCCTCTCCCTCGCTGAGACCGGCCTGTTGGAGAGTGGGGCCAAATGCGAGGTCCCGGTCTGGGAGGTGAACGGGAACTGTAAGAGAAAGGCCGTCTGGGAGGTGGTAAAGGCGGTCTGGGAGGTGAACGGGAACTGTAAGAGAAAGGCCGTCTGGGAGGTGGTAAAGGCGGTCTGGGAGGTGAACGGGAACTGTAAGAGGAAGGCGGTCTGGGAGGTGGTGAAGGCGGTCTGGGAGAGGGTGGAGGTGAAGACCGTGGTCTTGGGGAGCTATCGCTACACAGCAGCAGGAGATCCGTAGGGTCTACATCTGGATTTTCACCACTCACATCTTCATCTGGTAGTTTTTACATAGTGATGTTTTAGAGAGTTTGAAGAAAGAAGAAGAAACAAAGAAAAAAAAGCACATTAAAAGCACATGCTGCAGGGATAATGCTTAAAGTGATTACAATGCATCTAGCAATACAATATTTCCCTCCACCCCAGAAAAGAAAAGCAGCATGGGGACCTTTACTGCTTTATGCAGTTTTAAATGGATCATATATTGGTCTCCTACCCTTCATCAGCCAATTACCAATTCATGCATGTTATGATTTTATAATATAATAATACCCAAGCCAAATGTTTCCACATTGTAGAGGTCAATCTCCTCATCCTCTTCAGCCATTTCCAGCAACAATACACATTCATCATCCTCTTTGTCGCTCCACTGATCTCCATTCTCTGGCCAAATGGCATCAGGATCAGATTCCCCGGTTTTCTCCTGAGATAGACATAAAATGATGTATAATAAAACATTGCTAACTATCACCTTGTAAGCAATGTATAGGATACAAAGGAAATATGGTAACACTTTACAAAATAAGGTAAGACTTTACTATAAGATTCCAAACATGCAAAACACATTTATTAATCTCAGTTCATGTTCAATTCAACATTTACTATGACATTATTAAAATCAAAATTTGTATCTGTGTAATATTTAATTGACCTGAGCTAACATGAACTAACAATGAACAGTTGTGTTTTATAACTAACGTTAACAAAGAGTAACAAATAGGCATAATGTAACAATTGCTCACTAGTTATTGTCTGTAAATGCATTAAATAACATTAACTAATGGGACCTTATTGTAAAGTGTTACAGAGAATACTAGCTTTGTATGAATGAGTAGCCTACATTTATAATAGGTTATATGCAAAATGTTCGACTAATTCACAATGTTATTGCTTCATCTACTTACGGGATGTTCAGAATCACCCATTTAAATATTGTCAGTATTTCAGTATTTTGTGAAATATTTCGTCACGCATCCACATTCGCTAAACGTCTACAACTGCTCGTGATGTAACACGTGCTTATCAGTGTTTGTAAATGAACACACCTGCACACCTGCGCACCTGGAGGTGGTGCTCACGCAACGCCGACGTTACCACCATTGACATTAAAGGGGACACGTCACTCCCGCAAATAATCAAATAGCTACTGCCGCGAAACCGTCCCTCACAGTATTTGATTTGATACTGCACTCCATTTATGTTTTTTTTTTTTTTTTATGTTAAATTTAAGGGTGGTCTCACTGGTCTGCCTCAGGTCTTATGCAGATGTCAAAATGTCTGAGATAACAAATTAAATAAAAATTGAGTGTTCATCAGAGGGGTCCAAGACCCAAGGACTTTTGTCGCACTTGAACCACGAATACACAAAATAAAAATTGAATGGATTCGAGGAGTTTTGTGGCTTTTTTGAAATTTAAAAAAGTAACAAATCCTTCCCTCTCGGGTCAATTTGACCCCTTTAGGAATGAATGGAATGCGAGGAATGCTTAAGTAGGCTATACATAGAAAAACCTAAAAATGCTAAAACTTTACCAAAAAAATATTTTATGATGTCTTCTACATGTGTATCTGAATCATGAACTGAATGCATACTGAATGACTGACTTTAGGACCCAGCGGAACAGCTCATTTGCTCCATACAGAGCTATAAGACCATCTAGTGGCAAGAGTCATGAAATATCATGTTATATATTTTTTTCCCACAAGAGGCCGGCAAAGACACCAAATGTAAGATATTTTGAGCTGTATTAAAAGGGGTATGCATGACATTGTAAATTATTTTGAATTTAATTTGAAAGAATGTGAGGTTTGTGCTTAAATGACTATTTATGTATTCTTCTATTATTTATGTAAAATATAGTGATTTTGTTTGTGTGTGCAAATGGGGAATTATTCTAATGTTGTTTCATGATTTTATTTACATATATATATATTTGGTCAGATTTACATGCCTTACATAGCATCGTTACATCTACTGTTACCATGAAATCAAAATTGATGAATCTTATTTTTTTATGGAATACAGTTCTTATTATAAATAAATCATTTGTATAATTATTATTATTACTTTTTTTACAACCTGTTCACATGACATCACAGCAATAGCAAACCCTGATGTAATGGACTTCAGAGAGTGAACATGTACGACAGCATTTCCCATTGTTTAAGTCATGCAGGTCAGGCACATATAAAATTAAAAATTAGTTTAAAAATTAGTCAGTTGTCTTAATTTGTTGTCTTGTCTAGAGAAAAAGTATACTTTATTGTATTTGAAATATATTCAATAGTAGGCTACATTGCAAATATACTAACAAAAAATTGTATCTTTAAATATATTAAAAGTATATGCGACACCACACACTGGTGTCGCCAGTGAGCGGTGTTCTCGGTGCCTAGAAGAATTATGGAATAATTTTCCTAAACATTTTGTTCAGTTGATTCGGAGTTTCGAAAAGCTCTGCTTCACTTGCTGACCGTTCCAAGATGGGGGCGCATATGCGGCATCTTCTGAATATGATAGAGACAGACAGGCCCAAATCAGAAACAACGACCACGCCGCTAAGCAACGCCCATTTCCGGGTATACCCGCAGTATGAGGAATGCCGACGTCAGTGTCAGCTGTTTTTACACAACATGCCCTCATGCCGGCAGGACATACTTTCACAATAACATAGAATGTGATGAGAAGAATCAATCCTCTAGTCGACAACTGTATATCGAGTATCGACTAACCATCGGATCGGGTGGAAGCTTTAACAGTGGCAGTAAGCAGGCTTGACTCCTTTGGTGGATTTCCACGCCCAGCTTCAATCGGATGAAATCGTAGCTGGCAGCCGTTCAGATAAGGTGTGTGTTCCCTTCTCACTGCGGTCATTTTTCTGTTTTATTTGTTATCTACGTTGATAGCCTATATTTGCTCGTAGTGGTTTGATCATGTGAGTTGATGTGTTTTTGACTTTGTTTACATTCCCGGGTCATTCTATACTTTCAGTGGCGAGATGTTTTCACTCACATTGATATGGAAAAACTGATATAAACTCTGTTGTGAACATACAAAACAAATGAATGCTTAATTTTTTGCAATAATAGTATTATTGTTACTTGCATTTTTTACATTTTGAAAGTCTATTATGAAGAGAATGTATACGTATTTTTCTTATAATGCAGCCAGGTACACATTTTTAAATTGAAAACTTAGCAATTTGTTGTTAAATAGCCTATATTGTCTTTGACAATGAAATAAGTGGAATGTATAAAACATTATTTTACAGTTTGCATGTAAATATTTTGTATGAATAAGCTACTTTTTGAAAGAATCATTTATTTTCACCAGTGTTACTCTCTTATGTAATTTGTGTTTGGTTGTCAAAATGACAAAACCAAAATGTCTTTGAAAGTATCCATAATTAAGCGAAGAACACCATGTGAACCACTGACAAAAGAACACGACAGCCAATGATAAATAATATATTTTTTTGTTTCAAAAATACATTTATTTAATTTGACCTACATAAGATTTATTAATATAGCAGATAATTTTGATTGAGAAAAATAAAATCACATGGAAATGTGACGCAGTTGTAAAATGCCCCCCCTTGACTATCAGAGTAAGATTTACGTTAGGCTACACACCATATCACATGTCTGGCAATTCCACTGTTTATATATTGTGAGTTTATTAGGCTAATTATCACTTTTGTATCCATCCTCTTTTGGTGAGGTGCTGTTCTTATTAAATGTACTAATTTGAGATAGCTTATTTGACATGTTAATGTGCTGATTTTCCCTGATCAAGTGTGTATATGAAACTCATCACATCTTTTGAAGCATTTTCCATGATATCTAGGCTATGCCAATTGATTGGTCCAAAGAACAAAACAACAACATCAACAACAACAATTATTGTAAATGCAACCTTCTTGTCTGTGTGATAAGAACAATTCAAGATGATGTTACACTTTTGTGGCTTTTTAAAGGTTTGAAGGTCAGACACAGGTAATGATGGCCTTTAAGTAATGTGACACTCCCTTGCTACAAAATGACTGATACTGATGTGGCCAAAACTGTCAAGGCCAATAATGATCTCTTATAATCTTTAATGATTCATGAACTCTTGCCTAATGCATGCTGTTTATAGATGTCTTTTAGTCTCGCCCCGCTTACTCTCACTTGCTTTTAATGATAAGAAGGGGATTAACCACTTTTTTTTTTGTCTAATATGATTATCAATTAGTTAGCCTAAGCTTTACTGATGCTAGTTAGTAGGGTCTTGTAGGTTTGTTTGCCTTGGTTCAGAACATGCTGGATGAAAAGATCCACATGCTCAATATACACTCACCGGCCACTTTATTAGGTACACCTGTCCAACTGCTCGTTAACACTTAATTTCTAAGCAGCCAATCACATGGCGGCAACTCAGTGCATTTAGGCATGTAGACATGGTCAAGACAATCTCCTGCAGTTCAAACCAAGCATCAGTATGGGGAAGAAAGTTGATTTGAGTGACTTTGAATGTGGCATGATTGTTGGTGCCAGAAGGGCTGGTCTGAGTATTTCAGAAACTGCTAATCTACTGGGATTTTCACGCACAACCATCTCTAGGGTTTACAGAGAATGGTCCGAAAAAGAAAAAACATCCAGTGAGAGGCAGTTCTGTGGGCGGAAATGCCTTGTTGATGCCAGAGGTCAGAGGAGAATGGCCAGACTGGTTCGAGCTGATAGAAGGGCAACAGTGACTGAAATAACCACTCGTTACAACCGAGGTATGCAGCAAAGCATTTGTGAAGCCACAACACGCACAACCTTGAGGCGGATGGGCTACAACAGCAGAAGACTCCACCGGGTACCACTCATCTCCACTACAAATAGGAAAAAGAGGCTACAATTTGCAAGAGCTCACCAAAATTGAACAGTTGAAGACTGGAAAAATGTTGCCTGGTCTGATGAGTCTCGATTTCTGTTGAGACATTCAGATGTTAGAGTCAGAATTTGGCGTAAACAGAATGAGAACATGGAACCATCATGCCTTGTTACCACTGTGCAGGCTGGTGGTGGTGGTGTAATGGTGTGGGGGATGTTTTCCTGGCACACTTTAGGCCCCTTAGTGCCAATTGGGCATCGTTTAAATGCCACGGCCTACCTGAGCATTGTTTCTGACCATGTCCATCCCTTTATGGCCACCATGTACCCATCCTCTGATGGCTACTTCCACCATGTCACAAAGCTCTAATCATTTCAAATTGGTTTCTTGAACATGACAATGAGTTCACTGTACTAAAATGGCCTCCACAGTCACCAGATCTCAACCCAATAGAGCATCTTTGGGATGTGGTGGAACGGGAGATTCGCATCATGGATGTGCAGCCGACAAATCTGCGGCAACTGTGTGATGCCATCATGTCAATATGGACCAAACTCCCTGAGGAATGCTTCCAGCACCTTGTTGAATCTATGCCACGAAGAATTGAGGCAGTTCTGAAGGCAAAAGGGGGTCCAACCCGTTACTAGCATGGGGTACCTAATAAAGTGGCCGGTGAGTGTAATTACTGTGTAATTATAATGACCACCACCCACACACACACACATAAACTCTTTCCTCTGCTGTTCTTGGCTTTCTCCGATATCTGATCTCCATAGATAATTCATGCTTTGGCCTCTCTGGCAGGGTTTGTGATGGTTGGGTGTGGTTTGTGCAGTAGTCTGGGCAAGCCAGAGGGTGTCTGTGCATGGTAAAGGAATGTTCCAGTTGTGCTATCAGTGCGTATACATTTGGTCAAAATGTTTTATGGTCTGCTGCTTTGGCAACCTATTAGTTTGGTTCCAAAACCAAGTGAGCTGCATACCTAGGATTTTAAGTTATCGTTTTCAAGACAGGTATTGCATCTTTGACAGTAGGGGAAGGCGTTATGATCAATATCATCATGATAACAATAGTTTTGTTTTTTTCTGGAAATATTTTGAGACTCCAAAATTTTTGATATTAGTGAAATTTCACAATTCTTCAATAAACCTCAAGAAACATTAAAATAAGCTGCATGCTTCTTTTTTATATCATATGTTTGTGTACAAATCACATCATACTAATTCATTCGAAATAGCCACTTTTAGGCCTAATGCATGGATCCAATATTGGCTCATTTGTTTTTTCCCGCTCAGTTTTACTGTGTAAGTAGGATCATTACCCATCCAATTACCATTTTTTTTATATTAAGTCTGTATACAAACTAAGCGTTACAATACAAACTTCCTACACTTATAATTGGTTGTTTATTTAGAGTTGGGAATTTTTCCTGCTTATTGAAAGTAAGAGCAAGTTTTGTTCATTTTCCTATAAAGTAGCGAAACATCAGCTCAGCTGATGGATAAAGTCGTGTTCATTTTGAATACAGATTTCTACGGCCTTTTACAGTTATTTATTGTGGTCATGTAATTGTTGTATTTGGATGTTTATTAGATGGTTTTCATTAATGAGTATTTCCTGGCTACAGTTAAGATAGCAACATAAAGGTTGTTAAAATAACCTTTATTTCAACAATATATCAAAATACTTAATTCCTGTGTGTTTTCATTGAAGGAAAAATTCATTCAAAAGTGTCAAGACATTTTACATGAGAATGTCAAGCCATCAATCCATGACCTCAAACATAACAGAGTTTGGGTGACGCAACAAAGCAATAACACAAAGCAAACAAGTAAATCAATTAAAGAATGGTTGAAAAAGATTCATGTTTTGGAATGACTAAGTTAAAGTCCTGACCATAACATAACCGAGATGAGGTGGCGTGACCTGATATTTGATTTGTAGAGGGAATGGTCCAAAATTCACCCTCATTGTTGTGATAGTCTTATAAGCAGCCACAGAAAATGTTGGTTGGTTGTTGCTGCAAAAGGAAGATCTACAAGTTATTTACTTACTTTTTTCTCTCAGGCACATTTTTTGATGTGGGTTTGTGTGCATTATTTGCACAGTGGCTTAGTTATCGTGACTTGTTTGTTTAGTTCAGACAAACTATGCAGCTTTGTTGCCCCATTGTCTGCAGGTGATTTGTTCAGATCAGGTGCTCTGAAATAGAGCAAGTCAATCCACAAAGGTAGCAACATAAAATAAGGAAAATAAGCACCTGCAGGTTGCTTTTAAACGTTCTTTACACATTGCATGCAATTTGTTTCCCCAGCGTTTCATGGGCCATTAAATATGTACAACAAAGGCCATAACCATGTAAGATTCAGTCTTTTCACTAGACCTTTCTCTTCCTGAAGAAAAACAAGATTTCTGTGTGATTTTCAAAACAGTCACCTTTTAGCTCTTCTACTAGCCCAAGAGGTGCAGGCAGGGGCAAAAAAAAGAGATGCAGGAGACAAAGTTATGGTATTAAAAAAATGAGTAGACCATATTGAACATTTTTATTTGCATCTTTCTCAGTGTCTGTTTAGATGGAAGACATAGACTGTAGATTTTAAATCCACCAGTCTGATGAAAACAAAGTGGCACACTAGCATAGATGACTTTTAGGCTATAAGCGGATATGTTCAGAGCCATCGCTTTATGGGCAGAACAAAAGTGTTCCTGGTCCTCAGATGAAAAAAACGTTCAATTAAAAAAAAAACAGAAATTTAGCATGATCATCTCACAGTGTTTGCTGCTACGACCTACTGACTAGCCAATAAAAATGCAACATGAAATTGCATATTGATCAACGCGACATGGTGCTAAAACTTAAAACTACTTACCACAAGCTCCACTTACAAAATTGGCATGCCAAGTTGGCCTCTTTTCCCTAACCATGACTGCATCCACAGGGCTCCAGACTAACTTTTCCACTGGTTGCACTGGTGCTACCAACTTT